CCTGGGGCGCCAAGGTCCCAGGTCCATGTGGTGCCAAGCATCTCAACTTGAAGCCCTGTGGCTCAGAGCCCCCAAGCAGCTGCTTCAGAGCCCGGAGAGTCTGGGATGTGGACACAGTGGCGTGATGGTCTCAGCACTGGGAGAATGCAGAGGAAGGCGGGATGTGGAGGCCGGGAGGGAGGAAGTCGGGGCTCAGGGAAGCCCGGTGTGAGGGAGTGGCCCGAAGGCACGCAGAGAGGCACAGGGTGTGAGCATCGGGGCAGAGGCGGAGCAGGGGAGCTGCCAGGGCTCAGGCTGACGGCTTGCGGCCACCACGGGGACATTCGCTCGGGCCCATCCTGGCCTTCTGTGCTGCTCTCGAAGCCTAGGCCTCCAACACCACCATTTTGTAGAGACAAAAACGGGAACAGGAGGGCAGCGGCTCATGGAAGGCCACCCCAGGAGTGCATCTGATTGGGGGCCTCTAAAGACCGCACCGCCTTGGGGGCCAGTGTGTGGAGGCACGGGACAGAATGGACAGGGGCTGGGCTGAGGCAGGATGGGGCAGGAGTGAGGGGTGAGGGGCTGGGCCCCATCTTGTCCCTGGCTGGAGGCTGGGGGAGCAGGCCCTCAAAAGAGGCCCTGCCCACCCTCCCTGCCCTGGACACGGTCCCCCTGACTTGTGCCGTCTGATCAGGGCTTGGCCGCCCCTCCTGAAGTCCATGGGAGAACGAGGGGCAAAGCAAAGACTGGCTGGATGGACACAGGTCTGGGCGCATGGTTGGGGCCACAGCGACGGAGGGGCAGGCTGTCTCACCACCCTGCCCTGGCCCCGTCACCTCTGAAGGAGGGAAGGGTGATGCATGCGCCCCGGGAATCTGACTCACACAGGCACTAACTGCTCCTCAGCTGCTGAAATGCCACCCCCTGCCCCCAGCGCACCCCCGACACCAGCCCCTCCCCACCACAGAGGCAATGACACAGTCCAAACTGAGGGGAACAGAGCTCAGCAGAAAAGAAGGTGCCTCAGTTTCCCCACTTGGAGAGTGGGCCTTTGCCGCCTCACAATGGGGGGCTTTCAGGTCACTCTGCCTGGGGGTGGGGCATCGGAGCACCCATGTGACCCATGTGACTCTGGCCTAGGGGGACAGGAGGGAAATATGAGGAGCTGGGGAGGGCCTGGGTGCCTGAGGGCGAGGGGGCCGCTGTGGGCCAAGGAGGGCGGGGCTCTCGAACCCGACTCACCCACGTCTTGGGTTTCTGGGCAGAGATGTCTTGCCTATTTCTGGACACCTCAGCTGCCACTGGCTCCTTATAAATAACCCACCCCAGGCAAGGGCCGAGCCGCCCCCATCTTGCAGTGGCCGACAGGTGTCAGCCTGGCCGGGGTTGGGGTGGGCACAGCAGGGCAGGGCCAGGCTTCGTTCCCCCGCTTCGATGACACTCCTCCCTACAGAAGGTGGCCCTGGAGGAGGCTGTGGGACTTGGGGCCTGAGCCAGCTGGGAGGACAGCACTAAGGGTGAAGCAAAGCCCCAGCGGCCAGTGAGTGGCCTGTCGGGGGGGCTCACACTGGGGGCCTGGGCAACTCTGGCTGGTGGGATGAGCCCGGCTCAGCCGAGGCAGTTACACGAGGCTGAACTTGAGGGGCAGCAGAGTCTCAGGAAGAGATTCTGGGATAGGAAAAAGCCGCCCCCGTCGCCTGGAAGAGAGCTATCTGCTGGTTAATTTCGCATGGAGCTTGAGTTGCTCTGGGAAAATTAACATTCTTGACCGAGAGTTTGGAAAATGGTTCCCACCTCAGCGATGCAACGTGGATGCATTTTTAGCTGATGAACGTGTGTTTTTCTTACACAGCACTCCCAGGGGGGCCGTAACCATTGTCTTCCAGTGATCTGTGCTGTGTTGTCATGAACTTTGTTTCTAAAACGCGGCCAACACGGTGCAGCTGCTCGGCATCTCCCCAGGCCCGGCCGCCCGGTGTGCTGCGGTGGCCAGCTCACACAGAGACGGTCCCCAGCTCGCTGGCCTGGGGCCACCGCAGCACATGGACGGGGTGGCCAGTCCCGGGCACGGAGCTTCCCCTAGGCAGAGGCAGATCCAGCGCATGCCCAGGGCTGGGGAAAGGGGCCGCAGGGAGGGAAATGATGGGGGGCTGCTGCAGTCCAACTGTGCCTGGCAGGGAGCCCGGCTCAGGGGATGCACGGGAAGCAGCCCAGGCCCACCCCAGCACGCTCCAGGGCTCAGCACAACATCTTCAGGAGACAGAACAGCTTCCCTGCTCCGTGATCAGGAGGGGTCCTCGGAGGGGTGTGGGGGGCACACCAGGGCTTCTGGGCGCCCCAGAGGAAAACAGGCACAGAAGGGAGCTTTAAGCTCAACCAGGGAAGAGGGGTTCTCATGGGGAACAGTAGGGTGAGCAGACTCCCCATCTCGCAGAGCCGGCCTTGGTCACCCAGGGGCTCCCGATGAAACCCACCTACACCCGCTGGGCAGAGAACATCCAGAGACAGTTTTCAGCCACATCAGCAAGATCTTCCTGTGTCCAGAGTGGGCTGGGCACGCGCTCTGCATTCTGGATGACCCCCTCAGGGGATGCTGCAGAGAGGATGTCTGCCCCGGGTGGGGTGGACTCCACGGCCTTCCAACATCCCGTCCAGCTCCAAGATTCCAAGCTCCAGGCTGGAGCCAGGGCTGGAAGAGGAGACAGAGTCAGGGACGCCAAGGGCTGGGAGGGGCTGGGAACCCTGGGAGAAGGGAGGCCCAAGGAGGTAGACTTGCCCAAGACCAGCGCTGGCCCCCAAACACTGCCTGCGGTCCCCCTACAGCGCCGCTCTGAGAGCCACCTCTGCCCTCCGCCCAGGCAGCTCCTAGCTCTGTTTCCACCCTCTTTCTCTCTCAATCTCTCTCTGCAGAAAGCACCCACCTTCACCATGTCTGACGAGGAAGTGTGAGTACCCAGCTGGAGGCTGACCCCCACCCAGCTTGGGACCCCGGCCCCTCGGCTTGGTGGGGCTGGAGAACAGGCTAACGTTTGCACAAATCCAGCCTCACCACCTCTCTCTCTCTCTCTCTCTCCTCCTGCCCCACAGTGAACAGGTGGAGGGTAAGTGTAACAGCCATTCTCATTCTACTTCCTGCTCTAGACAGAAGGGTCACATGTGGGCAGGGGCTAGGCTGTGTATACCATGGGTCCCCTCGGCAGCCCCAGGTCGGCTGCCACCATGGATGCCTTCTGAGCAACCCCCAGAAAATAGCTGTCCAACTGGGGGCCTCGTCTCTTCCCCAATGCATAGACACATGGTCCTGAGGGGCCTGCAGGGACGTGTCTGGCTCTGGGTCCCATCTCTCCACCTCTCTTACACACAATGTGGGACGTGGGCATCTATGACCCCTGAGCCCCCCGAAAGCGACCACCATCACCAGAGCCTCTGCCTTCCCCAGCGCCTCCTCTGGGCCTGAGGATCCCCGACTGCCCACCACTGGCCGGGGGGAATCGCTAGAACCGGGACACGCTGGCTCCTCATCCTCCCCTCCCTTCATGGGTGGCCCTGTCTAACGTGGTCCCCTCTTTTGTTCTGTCCCAATGCAGAGCAGTACGAAGAAGAAGGTAACTCCGGCAACCACCGGAAGCCCCCCAGCCCCTCCTTAACCTCCCTCCCGTGTGACACTCACAGAAATCCCCTCCCTGGGCTGCTCCAGGCCGCCTCTAGCTTATCAATCCACCGTCCATCTTCCTCATCATTAATGACTGATGAATGAGGCCATCACTGAATTAATGATGAGTGAGATCATCACTAACCCCATCTCTTTAGTGGATTAATACACACTCGTGGTCCTTCATTAACCCTTCATCCTCCGTGTGCCATGGTGTGTGGGTTCCAGGGGCTGCTCATGAAGGCCTCACTCTCATTAACACCAAGCGCCCTGCCATGCCCAGCGCTGCATCTCTCAGCATCTCAGCGTCTCTCCCTCTCTCTCCAGTTCCTTTCTGTGTCTCTCCTGGCACCCTCGTCTCTCTGTGTGCCGGTGTCTCTCTCAGCTTCTCTCTGTCTCTGTATCTCTCAGCCTCTTGGTCTCTGTCTCTCAGTCTCTGTCCCTCTTGGCCTCTCTGTCCCCATCTCTCCACCCCCATCTCCATCTCTCTGTCTCCATCTCTCCACACACCCCCCCACCCTGTGCTGTAACCCTGGGTGGAGCCTGGAGCCCCCTCCCTGCGCTGGCCAGGTGTGGTCTGTGGGTGTCTTCATCGTGCCCGGGCAGGCGTGGGCGGGTGTGGGCGCACCTGGGAACTGTGCGGGGCGGCGGTTCTCAGGCCGACGGCACTGCCCCGGAATCCCTGGCACCCACTCAACAGGGGAGCACATTCACGCAACCCTAACAGGCTGGGCTGTCCTGTGAGGAGTCTTGAGTGCTATGTTTTGAAAATATTTTGAAAACACTTGGCTACCCTAACAACGTGAGCAAAACATTTCTTTCTCTGACGAAAAGGTGGAAAGCCGAACTTCTGTGAGGGACATGTGGCCCTGGAGAGCCTTCTTTTCTCTTGGGGCAGCCACGTGGCAGGGCAGTAGGCCACAGAAGGGTCTTCTTGTGGCATGTCCCCTAAGACCCCTCAGTGCCAGCCTCATTTCCAGGGGCTCTCAGAGCCAGGCCTGGCACAGGCCTGTGGGTCTTGTCCCCATCTTCACTTGTGTCACCTGCAGAGCAGGACTTAGCAAAGGCCTCTGTGCACAAACGCCTCCAGGCATGGGAATACCAGGACCCCAGGAGGGAGGAGAGGCCTCAGAACCCCCCGGCTCGGCCCAGCCGAGCTGACGGTAACCTGCTCAGTTGGTGGGAGTCCCTGCTTGCCAGGGCTGGCCAGAGATGAAGGGCTGACCCCCATCTTTCCCCCCGGCCCAGTGAGCTCCAGGCTGGTGGCCTCCTGTCCTTGCAGCCATAGGACATTCCTCTAACGATTGTCTCTTCCCTCTCTCCCCCAACCCCACCTTCACCTGCTCCCGGTTTCTCTGGCTCTCAGAGGAAGCCCAAGAGGAAGGTAAGTGAGGTCCAAGGCCCCGGTCCCCATGCCCACCCCCAGCCTTCCTGTCCACCCAACATTGACCTCCACCCCGCCTCTAAGGATTGCCGTGTGTCCCTGTCTAACCCTCTCCTCTCTCCCCCTGCCACCTGCAACCCCCGGCTCTCCTCAGCTGCAGAAGTCCATGAGGAAGGTATGAGGACATAGGACTTCTGGTCCCCATGTGGGGCCCGGGGCCTGGCTGGAGCCCACATGGTGGTGGGGGAGGGGTGTGGAAGCCACGAGGTGCCAGCCAGCCAAGGGGCCCCCACATGTGGCCCTAACATAACCCACTAACCACAGCCAATGCTTAACCAGAGAGGGCATGGGGCCTTGAGGATGGGTTCCTTCCCCACAGCCCCCCAGGTAGCAGGGCCAGGGACTCCCCAGGTAGGTGTGGGCTGGGCTACTGGTCAGCAGGGCATCCCAAGCATGGGGAAGAGGGGACGCTGCAGGGCCAGAAATAGGCCCACCCTAGCCCTCCACGCCACGGAGGGCAGCCCAGAGCCCATGGTGGTGTCGACCCCTGGGCCTGGCCAGGACCCCTGGCCACATCTTAGGACAGCACAGGATGAGGGGAGAGAAGGCGGCTGGGGGCAGAGCCCTGCAGCCCAGCACAGTCAGCTCCTTCGGGCTCGCACAGTGCCCTCACCAGTCCCCCAGACTCCCTTACAGCCCTCTGCTATGGGACCCTTGGGGTTCACGCAGGCTAGGGGCAGATGGGAGGGCTGGGGTCCCATCCCCAGATCAGCAGGCAGAGCCATCAGTGTTGCCTGGGGCTGCTAGCACCCTCGGAGTGTGGGAACAACCTGATGAGGCAAAGAACGAGTGGGCCCCCAGCTGTTGGGATGCCAGGAAGTGGGGATCCTGGGGACACCTCCCGTGGCCCATCTGTGGCTCTACCTCCCAGGGTACCAGCCATGCCCTCGTGGGCCCCCAGTGCCACCCAGCCAGGCTACAACCTTGCGCATGGGCCTTGGTGCCGTGGCCAGAGGCATGGACACCCTTCCGGGGGATCTGCAGGAAGGAGAGGGGATGGTGGCGAGCAAACGAAGGCCCAGTGCCGAGCCTGTGCCACCAAGGGCGGGAGCCACAGCTCCCGGCCACCCTCCAAGCCTCAGTTTCCCCACCTTCGAGGCAGAGTATGTGGGGGATGCAGAGAGCAGGGTTTGAGGACGTGGGACTGGGGCGGTGGCTGCACCTGGGCTAACTCCCACCCTGTCTTGCTCGCTCCCTGCACGCCCCACCCTCGGCGTCGTCGAGTGGCGACGGGGCCGCTTTTCCATTAACCTCGGACCCTCCTCCTTTGACCTCTGACCCGTGGTTTTGCCTCTTGTTCCGTGGCCTCCTTGGCCCATGAAGTTCATGAGCCAGGTACGTGCATGACTTCAGCGCCACATGGGCACCTGTGGCCATGTGGGGGGCGCAGGACCCAAGAAGGAACAAGAGGGGCCACGTAGCCAGCATGACCCAGGCTGCTCCCCGCCCTGCCCGCCCCCTCCACCCAGCCTCGATCTCCCCTGCTCTCCGCACTGCCTCTCTCACACTGGTTCTCTCTCCCCCCAACCCTCTCCACGGTGCCGCTTCTGCAGAGGAGGTTCAGGAAGGTACGTACGCCGGCTCCCCAGACTCCAGGCCAGAGCCCTGTCCTCCCTTCTGTCCTCTCCCGCTTTCTCCCTTGTGCCCACCCCTTGTGATGTTCGCCACCAACAGCTTAGCCTGCTCTGGCCTCTGGGCTGGGGACAGAGTGAGGACCCTGGCTTAGGAAGCCCTGGCTAATCGGGTGAGGGTTCCCTTTGGGTCACCCAGGCAGAGAGGATCCCGTAGCTTGGGGACAACGAGGCTCTTCCTAGGCCGCCAACAGGAAGGTGGGAGGTGGAGGTGACCAGCCTTGAGGCCCAGGCAGAGCAGGCCTTGGGAGGACAGTGCTGGGGTCCACTGGGACCCTCTGGATCCACCAAGGTGGGGTGGGAAGAGCCCAGGAGGACAGGTCTCCACCCTGCTCCAGTTAGCAAGCCAGAAGTAGGAAGATAGGGAGGGGTGAGGTGGAAGGGAGGGTGGAGGGGCAAGTGGAGCGAAGCAGAAAGCAGGCTGAGGCCCAAGGTGGGGACGTGGGGACCTGGAACAGCCGGGGGCCGTGCGTGCAAAGGCGCAGCCAGGTCCCGGCATCCCACCCATTGCCTGGGCCTGAGCCAGACACACCCGGTGTGAGAGGCCCCCTGGGTGGAGGTCAGAAAGCTGCAGATTCAAAGCAGGGGCCCCAGCTGGGAAGTGCTTCTCAGCACCGCCCCCCACCATTCTCAGCAGCTGTGGGGCTGAGGGGCTCCTCCCTGCTGGGCCTGAGTTCTGGCAGGACTCCAGCCTCAGAGAGGCCCCTGGACTAGAAGGGACATGCTAGGAGGGGGAAGGGGCTCCAGCCTCACAGGAGAAGGTGTCCAGGAGATGTGGAGGTGACAGGGGCGCCAGGTCGCTCTGGAACCAGCACTGAGGCAATCGGACAGACAGACAGACAGACAGACAGCAGGGGGGCAGCAGGAGCAGAGGAGGCAGGGTTGCCGGGACAGCTTTGCCACTTGGCTGTGTGGTCGCTCCCCACAGTGCTCAGCCTCCCACCTGACCTCGCCCTCCTCCCTGGCTGGCCTTCCCACCCCAAGGGGCTCCTCAGGCAGGCGCTGCACCTAGCAAAACCCCCACGTCAGGGATGCGGGGCCAGCAGCCCACCCATTGTCCTCATCACGCCATTCCTTCCGGGTCCTCAGCCAGGCTTCTGCGAGCAGGACGCCCCGCCACTCCCTCCTGTGCATACCCCTCCAGGGTGTCCGTAAGGGTGACTCAGGCCCACCTGCAAAACCAAGGGCGACACAGGTCCTCTGTGCTGTGTGGGGGGGTCCCAGGCCACCGAGGGGTCTGCCAGCGAGGAGGACTAGAGGCCCTCAAACCCCGGGCCAGGCGCGGGCAAGGCAGGACCCCCACCCACACCCCTGGGCCCAGGCCTGCTGGCCTCAGCCAAGTGCAGAGGACGGCATCAGGTCAGACTCCGAGGGCCAAGGGCATCGCATGTTGACGGCCTTGCTGCCACCTAAGGCCCAGAGCATAGACTGAAGGGACAGGGTGGGTGGGTGCCACTAGGCCAGCAGCAGACCCCTTCCCGGGCCCCAGCTGGGCCAGGCCAGCCAGGGATAGGGAGCATGGGGGTCCCAGAGGGGCCCATCCCAGTCTCAGGAGAGCAGCCATGTGGCAGTCAGAGGGCAGGCCTCGGGGTGGTCGGGGTGAGCATGCCTGGGCCCCTGGCCTGTGGACGGCGGGGCAGTGGTGGACATTCTGGACTCAGGGAGGGGCTCCTAGGGCTAAGACCATCCAGGAGTTAGACCTCACACTGCCGGCAGAGGCTTTTGCGGCCTGAGGACCTGTAGTCACTCCATACCCTGCTAAGTTCCACGCAGCAACACAGGCTTCAAAGGCAGGGGTCAGGCACCGGGAAACTCCAAGCCAAGGGGCCGCACCCACCCAGCTGCAGTGCCCTCTTCTTGGGGAGGGTCCAACAAGATTGGTCCAAGGAGATTCCAAGGTTGACCCTGCCAGACCCAAGAGGATAGGCCAGGGGGACAGATGAGACCCAGTGCCCTTAGCTTCCAGCCTTGTCCCCAGAGGTATCCGTGTCCTTCCTGCTCTCCACCAGGTCTTCAGGGCAGGGCTCCACTGGGCACCCAGCCCCTTCCATCCCTCCCCAGGCAGCCATTCACCAGCCCCACAGGCACACCCTGGGGAATAGCGGTCCAAGCGAGAGGGGTGTGCCTCGTGTCCGCCACAGCCCCCCGCAGCCCCCCGCAGCCCCCCACAGCCCCCCGCAGCCCCCCACAGCCCCCCGCAGCCCCCCGCAGCCCCCCGCAGCCGCCCTGGCTTTTCTCTTGCATGTGCGCTTGTGCCACCTCGAAGACATCGAAGAGGAGGACGTGGAAGGTAAGGGCCTGCCCTGCCGCCTGGGGTGCTGGACCCTGGCTCTGGCCACCATGAGGAAGAGGACAGGCGGGCTCTCTCGCTGCCTTGCCTCCCTCTCCCTCTGTCCTTCCTCTTTCTCTTCCCCTGGCATGGGGGTCTCCGATGGCCAGGACTTGTAGGCCTTGCTACTCCGAAGGGTGCTGCTGGGGTCCGGCTGCGGGGGCCTCAAGGGTGCCGCTACTCCCAGCTTAGGCCACACAGTTGTGGGGGTCAGCCAGCAGCACCAGAGCCCAGGCAGGGTGCACCCGCTCCTCTTTCTCCCAAGTCCCTTCTTTCCCAATCTTCATCCCCAAGCCCCTGTCCTCTGTCCTTCCTCTCCTTCCTTTGCAGCCTTCAAGGATGATCCCATTTCTTCCCTTCGTCTTCCTCACCCTTCCTCCCTGACCTCTTCCCCTCCGACCCCACCATGGGCTTTTGCAGGCCTAGAGCAGAAACAGGGCCCTCTTGTTTCTGGGGGTTGGTGGGACAACAGCTGGAAAAGAGGATGGCCCTCAGTGAGGGGGAACCAGGGCCCCTCGCTGCCCATTCTCACCCTGGCTGTCTCTCTCCTTCCCCCATGCTGGTGCTGCGCTGGACAGAGGAAAAGCCGAGACCCAAGTGAGTGTGGGGTCCTGGAGCGCCTGGCCAAGTGTGTTCTGGGGTGGGGCTGGGCGCAGGACGCGGCCAGATGCCTGGAGCCTGCACTTGGAGGGATGAATGCTCAGGGTGCAGGGTGGGAGAGACCAGGGTCACCTGGGAGATGGACTTGGGAGGCCCAGCAGGGTCATCTGGTGCAGAGAAGGAGGGCTTCCTGCAGGAGGAGGCTACTGACAAGGAAGGAAGGAGGAGAGGTGGGTGGGAGAAAGTTTAGGAAGGAAGGCGGGGTGCTGGGGTGTAGGGAATCGGGCCACCAGCACACCCCCATGGCCTTTGGGGGACCCCACCATCCCCTGTCATAGTACCTAGCTGCGAAAATAGACAGGAAAGTGAGTCGGGAAGTGGAAGAAAGAGGGGTCTTACCCCAGAAACCCACTTCAGAAGGACACTGCAACCATGTCCAAAACAGCCCGATGTACAGGGCCCCTGCTCCCCTCTGGGAAGAATTCAGAGGACCTCGTCCTCATCACACCCGCCTGTGAGCACTTCATGGACTGGCTTTTTAAATGCAGCTCTTCTGACTCTTCTGCTTTTGATCAGTACAAGTGGCAGCACTCGGTGGGTGCAAGATTCACCCTTTTGTCTCAACTTCCCTTGCTCTGCAGGAGGTGGAGTCTCAGAGCACCCCAGCACACGCTCACTCAGGGCACCCCAGCACGTGCTCACTCAGGGCACCCCAGCACGTGCTCACTCAGGGCACCCCAGCACGCGCTCACTCAGGGCACCCCAGCACGCGCTCACTCAGGGCACCCCAGCACGTGCTCACTCAGGGCACCCCAGCACGTGCTCACTCAGGGCACCCCAGCACACGCTCACTCAGGGCACCCCAGCACGTGCTCACTCAGGGCACCCCAGCATGCGCTCACTGCCGGCTTCTGCTTGGGGGGCCCTGCAGACTCTCCGGAGAAGAGTGGGAACATCTAGGGGCAGAGCCGGCACATTTCTGTCCTTTGCACTTAACTTTTCAGCGATTTTAAGTGCGGTAATGCCTGATCACGAGATACTTTCTCATTTTAGAAAAATTGTTTGTGTTTTCATTATGAAAATAAAACACCTCATTAAAGAAAATTTGGAAAATACATAAAAGTCGAATGAAGAAAAAAACGTCATGTATAATTCTCCTACCCAGCCAGCCAGACTATGGAAAAGAGCAGAGAGAAATAAAAAGCCTTATTTCTTCCTTTTTCCATGCATAGGGCTTGGAAAAAAAGATTTAAACTCTGTGCTGCTTTTCAAGCTTCACGCTGTCTATACAGCCTTGAATTCTGCTTTTTTAAAACTTAGCACTATTCATAAGTATTTTTCCATGTTTTTACATAGTCTTCTTAAATATTTTGAATGGCCACATAATATTCCATCAATTGGACAAACCATAATTTTCCTAGCCATTCCCCTCTCACAGGCTTTCCCCAATATTTTACTATCATAAATAACGCTGCTTGGAAAGCGTTTTCTGTCTTTAGGGTTATTTCCACAGGCTGCGTTCCCAGAACTGGAATTACTGGGTCAAGGAGTATGAATGTTCCTAATTGTTCTGGCCCCCAGTGCCACACTGCTTTCCACGACGGCCTGGAGCGCTGTCTCCTGCGTGGGATGCGAGCGGTCCGTACCCCACACCCTCCTCGCCCGAGGACAGAAACGTGCTTTTACGTCGGGAATCGGCATCTCAGAGCTGCCTGGCTCCGCGCCCCCAGAGTCACTGGGGCCAGCACTTCCCTGTTTGTGGATGGGTCGTCTTTCTTCTCTGAGAATTAGTAGCTCTGCCCGGCGCTCCTCTGCCTCATGGTGGAGGCGTCTCTGTGTTTTCTTAATCATCGGTTTGCATAAGGATATAAGTCTTCTCTGTATTTGCTGAAAATATTTTTCTAGTCTGGTTTTTTATTTCTGGTGGGTTTTTTTTTTTTTTTTTTGCCTTTCCATCTTGCTGTTTTACTCACAGACATAAGTTTTTCATTTGCGTGGAGTCATCTGGCCCTCTTTCCCTGAGAGGCACCTTCTGGTGCTTCTGAGCTTAGGAAACCCTTTCCCGCTCCAGTTTTTGATTGATATTTAGCTCTAGTTTCTTCTATGGTTTGTTGGAAAAAATCGTTGTTGTTTTAACTCTTTGCTGCATCTGGAATGTATTGCTGAGAGGAGCGGACCCCACACCCAGCCAGAGAGGGGGCCTCGCTTCCCCTCCAGATTGCATTCTTCCCTGCCCCCTCTCATCCCTTTGGGCCCCCAGAGAGAAAGATGAAAGAGGGGCTGGGGAAAGGCGCAGACTCACAGCAGCTGTTCCTGCCATGGAGGCCACCGCCGTGCATGGTGGCCATAGCTTCTCACCTGACCTGGCTGTGTGTGTTTATCTGGGAAGGAAACGGAGGTGCCCTCCCTGGTAGCTGGGGTGCAGTGACACTTGCAATGGCCAGAAGCTGAAAGGGAGCTGGCGGTGCCAGGAGCTGAAGCCTTCTTGAGGGGCTCAAGCCACTCTCGAGATGGTGGGCTACAAAGCTCCTAAGAATAAAGCTGGGTCAAACGTGCCACTAGGCAGGCATCCTCGCCTGGGGGCCAGGACAGGAGGATACCAGGGCCAGCAGGGACCAGGTGAGGGAAAGCAACAGGCCGACCCTCTGGGGTGGGTCCCCGGGTCTCTGCTCACGGGCCTCTCTGTCTCTCTTCAGACTCACTGCTCCTAAGATCCCAGAAGGGGAGAAGGTGGACTTCGATGTAAGTTTACAGGACTCTGGTCAACATGGCCACCATTTCCCCAAACCCCAGCTTTTGGGCTCCAGGCTAGGCCTTAGCAGGTCACTTTCTCCCAAGCAGCCAGAGCTGGGGCCTCCTGGATCTGGGCAATTCTACCATAACATATTCCTGAACCACAGGAAACCCCTCTAAAAATAAACATCTCTCTTCCCTTCTCCTCCATGTATCCTTCTATCCATCCATCCATCCACCCACGTAAGCACCTACCCATTCACCTACCCATCCATCCATTCATCCATCCACCCACCTACCCACCCACCCATTCACCTACCCATCCATCCATCCACCCACCCACCTACCCACCCACCCATTCACCTACCCATCCATCCATTCATCCACACACCCACCCACTCCCCTACCCATCCATCTCTTCATCTATCCACTCACCCATGCACCCATCCATCCGTTCATCCATCCATTATCCACTCACCCACCCACCCACCCAACCCACCCAGCCAGCCATTTATCCATTCATTATCCAGTCACACATGCAATCACCCACCGACCCACTCATCCACCCATCTATCCACGTACCCACCCACTCACCCACCCATCCACTCACCCTCTAGCCGTTAATCCACACATCCCTCCCTCCACCCATCTATCCACGTACCCACCCACTCATCCACCCATCTATCCACGTACCCACCCACTCACCCACCCACCCACTCATCCACCCATCTATCCACGTACCCACCCACTCACCCACCCATCCACTCACCCTCTAGCCGTTAATCCACACATCCCTCCCTCCACCCATCTATCCACGTACCCACCCACTCATCCACCCATCTATCCACGTACCCACCCACTCACCCACCCACCCACTCATCCACCCATCTATCCATGTACCCACCCACTCACCCACCCATCCACTCACCCTCTAGCCGTTAATCCACACATCCCTCCCTCCACCCATCTATCCATCCACCCACTCATCTGCCTCCATCCTCCAGCAGTCATCCACCCATCCGCGGTTCCTCTGTTCACACACCCATCTATTTATCCAACAACTTTATCTCACTCAGCAGTCTTCTGTCTGCCAGGCCCATGCTGGGCATCTCTGAGGATGGTGACAGTGCCGGGTCAGAGCCAGTCCATCCTAAGGATGCTGAGGACCTTCTAGCTGGGCACCATCCCCACTCTGTGACTCAGGAATCAGGCCCCCCTCGGCCCCTATGAGGATAGCAGCGTGGCAATGTGGGGAAGGCAAAACTTTCTGCCCCTGCCGTGTTCATGGTGGCCGAGGGGATCAGGGCTTCTCTGCTGGAGCGAGAGACGGGCCTCGTGCTGCAAGGCAGGCCAGGCAGGGCAGAGGCTGGAGGGAGGGCGGGGCTGACACCCACTGCCCCTGCCCACAGGACATCCAGAAGAAACGCCAGAACAAAGACCTCATGGAGCTCCAGGCCCTCATCGACAGCCATTTCGAAGCCCGGAAGAAGGAGGAAGAGGAGCTGATAGCTCTCAAAGAGAGAATCGTGAGTGGGGCAGTTCAGGCTGCAGCAGGGGCTGGCGGGCACCCTCGGAGGAGCTGGGAGCAGGGCCGAGCAGACCCCCTTCTCTGGCTGCAGGAGAAGCGACGTGCAGAGAGAGCAGAGCAGCAGAGGATTCGTGCAGAGAAGGAGAGGGAGCGCCAGAACAGACTGGCGGTAAGGACAGCACCATCCCCACCCCTGCCTCTGCCGCTGAGCCCCAGGTCCAGAGAAATTCAGGAGGCTGAGGCCTTCCTCCTCCTGGGGTTCCCACTGTCGCTGGCCGATGATCAGAGCCACTGGCTGAGGCCCCGACACCCTGCGGGACCCCTTGCAAGAGAACACATCCTGGCCAAGACCTGGGGCTTCCTTCCAGGCAGTCCCTAAAGTCTGCCCAGAAGGCACTGTCCTCCTTCCATCCCTGAGCATCTCGGGGACGGGTCTCCACAGGAGGAAAAAGCCAGAAGGGAGGAGGAGGACGCCAAGAGGAGGGCAGAGGACGACCTGAAGAAGAAGAAGGCCCTGTCTTCCATGGGAGCCAACTACAGCAGCTACCTGGCCAAGGTGCGTGTCTGCCGCTGCCGGGAGCACGCTGGCCGCCTTCAGTGCGCCCTCCTGAGTCCGGCCCGCTCTTTGGGCCTGTTCCCTGCAGGCTGACCAGAAGAGAGGCAAGAAGCAGACGGCACGCGAAATGAAGAAGAAGATTCTGGCCGAGAGACGCAAGCCACTCAACATCGACCACCTCAGTGAGGACAAGCTGAGGTAAGGGGCGGGGGTCACGGGGCTCAGCCCAGGGGGCGGCCCTGCAGGAGCTGACGACCGCTCCAGAGGCTGCCAAGGCTGGGCTCCTCGGCGGCTGGAAGGGGACTCCAGGGGCCTGGCGCCACCTTTGGCCTCATTCAACGAAGCCCTGCCCCTTCCTCTGCCCCAGGGACAAGGCCAAGGAGCTCTGGGATACCCTGTACCAGCTGGAGACCGACAAGTTTGAGTTTGGGGAGAAGCTGAAACGCCAGAAATATGATGTGAGTCCCAGCCCCTCCGGCCCTGGGGCCACAGTGGCTTTCATCCGCCAGCCAGGGCCGCCAGCTTCCTGCACCCCTACCAAACTCTGGACCTACCCGCCCCAGAGGCCTGGGTCCCACGAGGCCCACACAGGCTGTTGCCACTGACCCCTGGCTGTGGTTGCTCTCTTGCTGGGGACTGTGGCCAGAGTCCATCCTCCTGGCTGGCCACACAGCACCCAGAGCGAGGAACCTGGCCCTTGGGTGGCCTTGGTCACCCTGGCCATGAGGATTGTCATGGGGGAGCAGCCATGGCAGAGTGGATTCAGGGTCCACTCTCTGAACCCCTGTAAGCGTACAGAAAGTCCCCATCGTCATTGAGCTCAGCTCCCGGGCACTGAGCCCCCCCGGTGTGGGGCGTCCTTTCCGAATAGCTCCTCCACAAACCCATCCACCAGGGCCCACGACACGCTGCACCCTGTGGCTATGCGCCTCTGGGACAGAGCAAGACGACCTTCCACACAGGCACCATCGCTGCAGGCTAAGCTGGGGCTCGGGAAGGCGGCCTCAGGGGCTGGGGTACAACGTGGGAGCCAGGGAGGAAGCCAAGCTTCTTTCCACCCTCCCAAACACACACGTGGGCTCCAGGGGCAAGGGGCGCAGCCATGAGTGATCTGTGTGCTCGGGGCAAATGCAGACACTCCAGCGTCACCATCAAGACCATGGCGTGCACCGTCCAGCACTGCCAGGGGCTCCGGGGGAGGGCAGCTCTGCTCACAAGGCCTTGCTCCACACAGGTGCAGCGGTGCTTGGCAACCGGTCCACGCCAGCCGGGCAAATCCGAGCTCCTTCTCAGGGGCTCTGGGCAGGGCACCTGTTCCTCCTGAGCCTCCGCACGCTCCCCTCGAACAGAGGCAGGATGGTTACAGTCCCTCCCACAGCGGTCCCCATGGGCTCCAGGCATGGGGGACAGGCCTGACCTCACTCTCGCAACTCTCCCAGAGGGGCTGGCCCTGATATGGCCTTTACCGCACAGGACCGGGCCTTCCCATGCTGTGTTCCCAGAGCTGAGTCAGGGACCCACTGTCTCTGAATAGATGTGGTCACAGTAGGTCCCCAGGGGCTCCAGAGCCTGGAGGGCCATCACCAGGCCAGCCCAGCACACAGCAGGGCCTCATTGCCTCGGCCGACCATCCAGCCTTGTAACCATCTTGGTCTTTCTAGATCATGAATGTCCGGGCCAGAGTGCAGATGCTGGCCAAGTTGTAAGTAGCTGGGTCCGCCCTGGGCCAGGCCTGTGGGTGTGCGCTGCACGGTGAGGTGAACCTCTCGCATGGCAAGAACCTGGGTCGCTCAGGATGCTGGCGGCAGGGAGCCTGGAGCCTTCCTTCTGCCCAACTCTTCCCTCATGCCTATAGCCGGGGGCTGCCCAGTGGCCGCTGCCCTGTTGGCAAGTGAGGAAGGGCCTCACCTTCCCAGGAGCTCCGCCTCAAGCCAGGAGCAGCCACAGAGTACCCCAGGCACAGGCAGGAGGGCAGGAGTGGCTGGCCCAGGAGCAGGAGGTATGCTCCCGACTCTGGGCTCGTTGGCAGAAGGGAGCTGGAGCTGGGAAGGAGGGGTCTGCAGGCCTCACCTGCCCCCCTCGCCCCATGCATGCTCCGTGCCCCCTGCCCCGCATCCTGCCGCAGGCTGAAGGTAAGTGGCCAGCTCCGGGCTGCTGTGTGTGGCAGCTCAGGCCAGTACAGGCCGGCGAGAATAAGTCCAGGCACGAGCCCCAGGGCCCAGGGACGGTGTCCCCCTGCGCAAGGAGCCAGGAGACAGTAAGGGAGCCGAGTAGCCCTCGTGGGGGCCCAGCAGCCCTGGGTCGCACAGCCCAGTTCGCCCTGCAGCGGAGATGGGCCTTCCCCCAGGCCTGGCCCTCAGGTCATCGCAGTGAGTCACTCATGTTGTCCACAGATCACCACGCTCAGGAGCCGCATCGACCAGGCCCAGAAGCAGTGAGTAGCCCTGCTGTCCTCGCTCCGCACCGGGCACAGGGGCCCGCGGAGCTGGCACCGTAGCCAGTCCCTAACAAGGGCTGGAGGTGGCCGGCGGTGGCTGGCCTTGGCAGGGCCATTATGAGACTAACCCGGCCAGGCCATTGGGGCCAGCATGTGCAGGCCTGTGGTCAGGGACTCAGAGCCTCTCCCCCCTGCATGCAGAGGAGCCCTGGGGGATGGCAGAGTCCGGAGGAGGGAGCCCAGTGGGGCTCACCCATCATGCCCTCATTGGCGTCTGTCACTGCAGTCTGTCATTGGCTGCAGGGAGAGGGCAGCCATGGGACCCCTAGACGAGGCTGCTTCAGGTGGCCTTTGGTGCCGCCAACCTGGGCCCCAGGGTGCCACCAGTGCTCCACCCTCTAAGGGGACCTAGGACAGGGGAATTAAGCAGCCAGGGCTTCGTCCCAGCCCCTCTGTGAGGCTGGGCAAAAACACGGACTCCTCTGGATGGTGACGCCTCATCCATAAAATCGGGTCCCCACGGGAGCTATGGGATCCTTTGGCACAGCTGCTTGCCCACTGCACGGGCCTGCACCCAGGGCGCTCCTGGCGGTGCCACGTTGGGGATCCTGCCACCAAGCCCAGATGCACAGCCAGTTCCATTTCCCCAAGGATCGCCGAGCTTGGGGGCTACTTGGAGTGTCCATGTTTTCTAGGCTTCATCTCCCTCCTCCCATGGCCCCGGCTTCCCCGCCACCCCCGGGGCCAGCTCCTCCGTGCTGCAGGCGACCTCACAGCTTCCCTGTTGTGCAGTCAGGGGTGCCTGTGCCTGCGTGTGTGCACATGTGTGTGCGCTGAGGGTGCTCACGAGCATGGGTGAGGGCACGGCCTTCAGCCAGAATCTAATAGGGGCCAGTCTCAAGGGCACGGGCACTCCTGTCCTCCACCTACCTCAGTCCCTAACCTGCACCCAACCCCTCCTGGCTCTCAGCCACGTGAAGGCCTCGGATACACGGGTCAGGCTCCTGGGACCGCCGGCTGTCCGCGGCCTCTGTCTGGAGGGACAGGAGCTCTTTGGAGGCCAAGTGCCTGGGAGGGTTATGACTATCTGCCAAGACAGCCTTCCCCAGCTCGGGGGTCTGTGTGCAGTGGCACCTCGGGCAAGAAAGGGAGGACAGAGGGAGGGTGCCAGGGCTCACACGGCCAGCCCCCGACCACCCTAACAACCCAGGCTCGCCAGACACAGGTGAGTGAGCGCTGCCTGAACTGAAGCTGGGTGGAGCTTGCGCCGGGTCTGCGGCCGGGCTGAGAGTCTGCCCAGAGTGGGGGGTCGGAGGGGCACGGCCGGAGCCCCTGGCGCTCAAGGACCACTTGCTTCCCATCTGCAGCAGCAAGAAGGCTGGGACCCCAGCCAAGGGCAAAGTCGGCGGGCGCTGGAAATAGACAGGCCAGCAAGGCCCCTCGAGGCAGAGACCCTCCACCCTCGCGCACATGGGAGTCGCTCGTGGGACTCTGCATCCTCCGACCCCCACCAACCCATCAGGGGTTCCCTGACAATCCTGGGGCTGGAGAGGCCACCCCGGAGCCCTGCCTGAATCCCTGTCCTTGCTGCCTCCATCCGCTGGGACCTGTGAATAAAGTTGCAGATCCCCCTCCACAGCGTGCACTGGCTTCTGCATGGGGGCCCCAGGGGAGACGGGGGATGTGGGGGGCTGCCCAAGGGCAGCGCGTCCCAGCCACCTGTGAGGCCAGCTCAGAAGGGGACTGGCCAGCACATGCCACCTGCTGCTACGGCCAGGGTGGTGCCAGGATGCCCATCAGATGCTGCCCATTTTCCCTCTAAAGTGCAGGCTCCACCCCCACCTGAGCCTACAGGACCTCTCTGCTCTCCACTTCTATGGGGTCTGCCCAGGCCTCACCTCCAGCCCCAGACCCCAACTGCGCCAGCTCTGAATCCACTAAGGGCAGAAAAACTTTGTCTCAGGAGGGGGTGAGGGAGGAGGGCAGGGCTCTGAGGGAGACTTTGCCACCCCTCAGAAAGGCAGAGGCAGGCGGTGAGGGGCTCAGGCATGAGGGGCGCACCCCAGACCCTGGAATGAGGAGCACTCATTCCCAGCAGACAGCAGGCAGGGCAGATGCAGGCAGCCTCCTCCAGCACACAGGACAGCAGAGCACACATGGGCCATAAATCTCAAAATCCTGACCAGAGAGAATTATGGAAAATATAAATCACAGAAATTGGATCAAGACGCAGAGACTTGTAGAGCAAAGTATTCACAGAGGAAGGTCTGGAGTCCAAAATGGTCTCCCCAGAAAGACTCAGGGGCGGGCAGCCACATCTGTGAGCTCTGCTGCCAGGGACGGGTAGTGGGGGATGGTGCGGGGTGGGGAGCGCAGCCCCTCAGTCTGCAAGGCCAGGACCCAGAGGACAAAACAGAATCTCCAGATAGCATCACAAATGTGTGCAGACCCCACAACACACATGTAACACACACACATAATGTGTGACCCCACCACACACACACACACACACACACACATCATCTCAGTTATGTTATCCCAAAACACACACACACAAAGACACATCAACCCAGGTGTGTGACCCCACAACACACACAGACACACACATACCCAGGTGTGTGACCCAACATACACAGCTACACACACAGACACACACACATCATCCCCAGGTGTGTGACCCCACAACACACACTACACACAGACACAAACATCCCCAGATGTGTGACCCCACAACACACACAGCTACACACACACAGCTACACACACACACACACAGCTACACACACACATCATCCCCAGGTGTGTGTGACCCCACCACACACACACACACAGAGATACACACAAACATCCCCAGATGTGTGACCTCACAACATACTACACACACAGAGACACACACAAACATCCCCAGATGTGTGACCCCACAACACACAGCTACATACACACAGACACACACATCATCCCCAGGTGTGTGACCCCACCACACACACACACACAGACACACACACACACAAACATTCCCAGGTGTGTGACCCCACAACACACACAGCTACACACACACACACACAAACATCATCCCCAGGTGTGTGACCCAATACACACACACAGACACACACACACACAAACATCCCCAGGTGTGTGACCCCACAACACACACACACAGCTACACACACAAACACATACACAAACATCCCCAGGTGTGTGACCCCACAATACACACACAGACACACACGCTTACACCCAAAGACACATCATCCCAGGGGTGGGACCCCATCACAAACAGAGCAACATCCCAGGTGTGTGACCCCACAATACACACACACACACACACACACACACAGAGAAACTTATCCCAGGTGTGTGATCCCACAACACACAGACACACACACACACACACAGACACAAACAGAGCAACATCATCCCAGGTGTGTGACCCCCCAACACACATACACATCACACACATAACATCCCAGGTGTGTGACCCCACAACACACAGCACTGTGCATCAGCCTGCACCCCCAGAGGGCCTGCAGGAGGGAGTCTCAGCTACGCTGCGCCTGACCGGGTGTGCACACCACTGGGTAACACACAGGCGGAAACCTGAGTGTGCCCAGGGTGAAGTCCGTTAGTTGACGTCACTGATCTTGCTGTGCTGCCTTGTTCTGAAAGGCCCCTGAGCGGCACCGAATGGACAGGAGTCAAGAAACTCTGCTGGGGACAGAGGTGATCACCAGCCACGGGCAGGGGCTTCGGCCCGATGGGGACCGGGAGGGCGGTGGGAGCTTGACGCGCCTGCACAAGGGCAAAGGAGTCTGTGAGCCTAGTGCAGAGATTGCGCTCCCCGCAGAGCGCGGGGCAGAGGTGGCTGGGACTGGAATGAAACCACTTGGCTTGGTGGGACGACAGGGACAGAAGTGGAGCCTCCAAACTAGAGGAGGAATGGGAGACGGTGACCAAAGCTGGCCACGGACACAAGAATGCCGCAGCCCACCGTCCGCCCTCCGCAGCCACGTCAGAACCCAGCTAGGAGACAGCCCGTTCAGCAAAGACTAGAAAGTTAAAACCCGCCTGAATAGCTCGGGGACCAGAGAGGACAAGGCCGGGCAGAGCGGTGGAGGCTAGAACTACAGGAGAACGGGGGGGACACGGGGCAAACCCTGGCTGCGGCTGAGCCAAGACAGAGGGAAACGCGGGGCTGGAGGCTTCCATCAGAAAGGGGGAAGCTGAAAAGCAAAGGCAGCGAGGTCTGGGATACACCGGCACAGAAATGTGAGGGGAAATATGAATAAGGACGCATCTGATTTATGAAACGAGGAAACGAGCAAGACGCTAAAACCAAGCAAAGAGAAGAATGGAAATAATAACATGAGAGGGTAAAATAACGGAAAATAAAAATGAATGGAGATCAAGAGAACGAAGCCCTGTCTCCGTGTTGGCCGGGCGCGGTGGCTCACACCTGGAATCCCAGCACTTTCGGAGGCCGAGAAGGGCAGATCACCTGAGCCTAGGAGTTCGAGACCAGCCTGGGCAACATGGCGAAAACCAATCTCTACAAAAACTGAAAATAAATTAGCCAGGCATGGTGACAGGCGCCTGGAATCCCAGCTCCTTGGGAAACTGAGGTAGGAGCATCACATGAGCCCAGGAGGCGGAGGTTGCAGTGAGCCGTGATCTCGCCGCTGAGCTCCTCCTGGGCGACAGAGTGAGACTCTGGCTGAAAAATAAATAAATAAACAGCGTTAAAACTCGTTTCTGTGAAAAAAGCTAATACACAGTCTACCATCTGGCAGAAAACCAGCAGAAAGAGGAAGAGACACAAACAAGCAATGTGGACAGAAAGAGGAGCCGACGTGGCGCTGTGCTGGAAGATCTCCACGGACGACGTTGCGACGGTCTGAAAACCGAGCAGACGGCTCATTCCCAGGAGAAATCGAACAGGGAACCGAGTCAAGGCGAAGTTCAAACCTTGCATAGACTTAATTTGTTTCATTCGGAAGCCTGCATTCCGAATCCGGGGTGCAAAGAAAACAAAACATTGGGCCGGGCGCGGTGGCTCACGCCTGTAATCCCAGCACTTTGGGAGGCCGAGGCGGGTGGATCACAAGGTCAAGAGATCGAGACCATCCTGGTCAACATGGTGAAACCCTGTCTCTGCTAAAAATACAAAAATTAGCTGGGCATGGTGGCGCGTGCCTGTAATCCCAGCTACTCGGGAGGCTGAGGCAGGAGAATTGCCTGAACCCAGGAGGCGGAGGTTGCAGTGAGCCGAGATCGCGCCATTGCACTCCAGCCTGGGTAACAAGGGCAAAACTCCGTCTCAAAAAAAAAAAAAAAAAGAAAAACCTAAGGTTTTTAATATGTGAACTTCTCTGCATCAAAAGACACCAGAAACCAGGCAAAAAGCCAAGTCATCTCTTGGGAAGAGGTGTTTGTAACACATATCGCTGATCAAGAATGAGTTTTCACTCTCTAAAAAGAAGGTAGGACCCCATTAGAAAAAAAGGCAAGCAACTCAATAGAAAAGTGGACGAGACGGGGTGACGAGCAGCTGGCAGGGAAGAGGACCTGAATGCACAGCACACGCGTGAGAGGAAACCAGATCAGCGCTGCCCGGTGCATGAACAAACCCAGTATCAGTCTAGAGAAGGAAAAGCTCATTTCTGCAGAACGGCAGCTCAGTGGAGGTGAAACGGCAGCATTAAGAGGGCACCGTTTGGCATTCATTGAAGGGATGGTTGACTGAGACAAGAATTATCACTGGATGCCCAAGTCACAGGTGAAAGTTAACAGGGACAAGAACGTTCAGTCTCAACCACCTGACTGATGACTTATAAAGTTAAAAGGACATTTTGAAAATAGGGAACTCTGGCCAGGCACGTGGCTCATGCCTATAATCCCAGCACTTTGGGAGGCCAAGGCAGGTGGATCACTTGAGGTCAGGAGTTCAAGACCAGTCTGGCCAATATGGTGAAACCCTGTCTTCTACTAAAAGAATCGGGCCGGGCATGGTGGCTCACGCCCGTAATCCCAGCACTTTGGGAGGCCAAGGCAGGTGGCTCACTTGAGGTCAGGAGTTCGAGACCAGCCTGGCCAACATGGTGAAACCCCATCGCTACTAAAAGAATCAGCCGGGCGTGGTGGTGTAATGATGCTTGTAATCCCAGCTGAGGATGGGCAGGAGAATGGCTTGAACCCAGGAGGCAGAGGTTGCAATGAGCCGAGATTGCGCCGTTGCACTCCAGCCTGGGTGACAGAGTGAGACTCCACCTGAAAAAAAAAAAAAGCAAAGACTCCAAACGGCATCTTGGCCACGCCAGGCCAGCTCGAAGCGTGCACTCCTCAGTCCAGCCTTTGCATTCCTGGGTACAGACTGCTGTTGGTAATTACAAAGACTCAGAAAACCTCCAAACATTCACCAAGAGAACGGGCAGCCAATGGCGCAGTCTTGAACACAGCCACCATATTGGGGTGGGGTGAGCCAGCTGCAAAAGGAAAAACCATGCTACTCACGTGACATTTCAACAATAGTTTCATATTTTAAAAAATCCCATGCGCCTGGATATACGTAACACACACTTAGGATGAGCCGTCACGGCCAGCGTTGGGGGGCTTCCACTGCAAGGAGCTGTGCAGAGCACT